TAGTTGTTAGGTAAATTTATGTAATTACAATAGTAGTTTCAAAAATCTTAATAAAGCACTAGTGTAACTGCTTATAAAAAAAAAATAAAATAAATTTTAAAAAAGAAGTTTAATAATAAAAGAATTTATATTAGTATCAAAAATAAAAATAAAGTTATTAGTATTTTTAGTTTTGAAATAGATAAATAAATGTTGTTTTTAAATTGAGATTAAGTTTTACAGAATTTACATAATTTGTATATAATTAGAATTTGGTTTTAAGTAAAAAATAAAGAAAGGTAAAAGTAATCTAGATTTAGTTTAAGTTCAGTTTTGTTAGCTTTATGTTTAGCTAAAGTATTAGCTATATTATATAAAGTATTATTTGAGTAAGATTTGATCTTATGTGTAATGTAATTGATATTTTTATATTTAGTTAAGAAGTTTAGAATATGAATAATGTTCTAATTATTTTGTTTGGTTTGTGAGTTGTAGTTATAGAGTATTGAGTATATAAGAGTTTAAATAGTAAATAAACTATTAAAATAAATATGAATTTGTAATTAAAATAAAAAAGAAAAAAATAAGAGCTGTTAACTTTGCTTTTGTAGAGTTTTGTATATAAGATATAGATACATTAGATTTGATTTGTATATTATTTTCAAGTATCTAAGCAATATTAATAGAGATGTTATATGTTTGTAAATTTATTATTGAGACATTAGTATAAAAATAAAGATTGTTTAGATCAATATATAGTATTTTTTTGTGTAGATCTATAAGTTGATTCTGGTATATAGAATTAAATATTGTATTTTGAATTAAGAGAATTTCTGAAAAGAGTAGTAAGAATGTTAGAAGAGTTTGCAAAACTGCTTATATAATTCTGTATATATGTTTTGAAGTACTTGAATTTCTTAAGTATTGATATTAGTTCAAGATAGTGTTTTTTTTTTGTATTTTATATTCAAGATTGATAATTTGTTTATAATTTAATTAAAAAGTTGTAGATGTTAAAAAGACATGAATTGTGTTAATTATTGTTGTAATAATTTAATATTTTTAAAGAATTATTTTGAAATTAAGTATGTTTATTATTTTACTGATATGCCAATTTTCAAATAAGATATAGAGTGTCTATATGTTTTTAAGATTGTTATATTGGAATATAATTAAATTAAGTGTATTTAAGAATAAGTTGATTGGTTTAAGTTGAATATTGGGCCATATATATTGGATAGAAGAGGAAGATATTTTATTTAAAAGTATTTTAAACCAGTTTGAAATAAGACCTTGGAGAAGATTTATAAGTTCTAAAATTTAGCTATAAATAATTGTTTAAGAAAAAAAATTTTGTTGTTTTTAAGACTTAATATTGTTGAGTTATCTAAAAATAAAATAAAGTTGTAAATATTATTTAGTTAGCTAATTTGTTTATAGATTGTTGATTGGTGAAGTAGTGAGTTATTAAAGGAGATAATATTTTTGTAAAAATAAAATAGTTGTGATATTATAATAAAATTAGAGGTTTTTTTTTAATTTTTAAGTATTGTATTTTGGGTTAAAAATGGTTTTCATATTTTGAAAAGCCATTCTTTGGTTTAATGTATAGAAATTTGATTTAGAGGTATATTGGTATTAAAGCATCTTTCTATGTTACTGCTACTAACTTGTAATATAAGTTTGTTGAAGATTAGAATATTAAGTAATTGTGAATTAGTATGTAAATTAGAAGTATGATTATATTTATCTTTTTAAACTAAAAGCTTGGTAAAATTTAAATTGAATATCAAAATAGTAAAGATATATTATAAAACAAGTATTAGATTGGAATAAACTCTATAAGAACATAGCAGTTTAATAATACATTTTGACTACAAGTATTGGTTTTAGCTATAGTATTACTAAGTTAACTATAAAAATAAAATACAAAAGATTCTAAAAAATTTAGTATAAAATTAGGGAACTGTTATTGCCACCTCCTGATTTGTTAATGCCACCCCCACGCGATATGCATACCATGTGTTACATGCGTACATAAAAATTCAAATACGTACCAGATACATATACTGCTAATTAATTACTTTAATTATCATTATGTGCAAATACCAACACTAAAACCAATAATATATTCAGTGCTAATGACAAAGAACTAACATATATAGCATATATTTTATAGAACTAACATATACAGCATATATTTTATAGAACTACGGCTTCACATATTAGGACAAGTTCGGCAATTGTGACCAGTTTCATGACATACACCGCATTGCCTTGAATGTTTTTCAACAAGCTCAAACACTGATGGATCTCTTTGTGTTGAGCTTTTGCTTCAGTTTTTTGCTCCAATCGGCCTTCCCCATGTTTTAGTAGTAACTGGATCTTTCAGCACCATAGAAGGTGTGTGTCCTAATTCTTTTATTTGAGCACGAACAGCTGCTTGTTGGTGTGAGGGCCAGAATTTATATTGTTGTATAAGACATTGCAATAAGGGCTGAAGGTCATTATGGCTATTATCTGCAAGGCATGCAGGATCTTCTAAGAATTCAAAACAGCGACCTTGAATCCACCAGTGCTCGTGGATGTCATTTAATTGTAACAGTTGGCCAGTTGCTAGACATTCGCTTATGATGTGTGAACACGGAAGTCCTATTGTAGATTTTAAAGTTTTTTTACAAGGGCGTAGAGGTAAATTTTGAGTCGTATCTGATGCTTTAATCAATTCATCATAAATTTTTTTTAAAGCAAAAACAGACACACGGCACAAAAAAGGCTCAAATAAGGAAATTTGGTATGTATGATGTATTTTCATACGTTCAGAAGAAATCATTACTCGAATTTCTCTTATCTGAGATTCCACTTGCAACACAATTTTCCGATATACAAATTCGAGATCACCCATGGATGATTGCAAGCACTTTTTGAAAACAGCATGAGCGCCTTCTACTCTTGAAGTTTCCTTATTACTAAGGTGTAAGTGACAATTTGTCCAGGAGAATATAAAATGTTCTTTATAAGAAATCCAGGTTTCTTGAATATAATTAAGTATATTAGGTTTATTTTTATAGCACTCTATGAACCTATTCCATCGATCCATAAACTCTTGCTCGGTAACAGATCCTATGATTGTTTGCCACATTTTCATGAACTTGGTCCATTGCTCCTCTGTGTCAAAATGACATTTACATTTGGCAAGAACATTCTTGTTTATGTGCCAAGCATATAGGATTTGTTTAGTAGTGGAAAAGACTTTACTGATAGCTCCTATTAATGCTAATTCTCTATCAGTAATGATAACATTAGGGCATGACATTCCATTAAAAATTCTTAAAATGCAAGCCAAGGCCCATTCGTAATCTGCTTCCGTTTCATCATTCAAGAAAACAAAACAGGAAAAGAATGTTGTGTTAAAACTTGATATATTGACAACATTCAATAAAGGCATCCTATATCTGTTCGTCTTATATGTGCAATCTATAAGTAATACACTAGGATAGGTGCGAGTCAAGGCAATTGATATTCTGTGGGTGAAAAAAAGGTGTGTATTGTGATTTTGATGATCATATTTATATTCATATTCGAAATCTGATCCTTCCAATTTATCCAAAAGAGCTCGAATTGGTGTTCTGCCATCAAGTCTTTCTTGTCAAATAGAGTGTAAGGCATTGTAAATTGTCCTAGATATAGCCATGGATGAAGGGTCATTCTGGTGAATGGTTGCTAAAATCTAACGGGAGCGAGAACTAGCAGCATTTATATGTCGAACTTGTTCTAGTTGTTCAGCATTTAATCTGCGAACTATTGGATGCCCAGACATATTTACTGATGCTTCATGATTATGATTAGGATCTCTAACTTCAAGAAACCAAATATTATTACGCCTAGATTCATAAAGTTCAAATGGGCATCTTGAAAGCCTTGAAGCAGTTTGTCGACAACGTGAACTGGTCGTCAAATTTAATTGGTTTCTATAAGAACCACCTCTATCACATTGTAATAACATATTCTTGATTCGACCATCTTCATCACTACGTGATCTTTTGATTGTTACTGCATACCCCTGAGCTCTAGCAAATGTTCGAACATAAGCAAGAAGTTCCTTACAGTTGGTAAATTGACCAGGTGGAGGTGCGAGCATTCTTTAATATTATTGTAAGTGTAGTAATTATTGGTAAGGAATATATGCGATACAATTGTAAATGCTAACAGATTCTAAGAGACGATAAGGATTTGATAGTTATAGGTAAAGTGGAATTTTTACTTTTATTGAGTTTAGATGAAACAGATATTTATAGCCTTAATCTATTTAGAAACTTTTTTTTAATTTCTAATGTGCACTGATTATGACACATTTTTAATGCACAGGCAGGTACTATCGTCAGGATTAATTGCAGTATATCTGCTATCTAAATGTTACATAGTTATATGTCGCATTTATTCTCATACGAAGCAATCATATATATCACTAATTAACCTTATGACATATAACTTGTGTGATATTTAGATAATAGCTGTACTACATTTGATCTGATTTATAGACTATCACAAGTTTTTACAACCTTTCTTATCCGTTATGCAACAATGATGTAATTAATAATTCACTGTCGATCATGTAATTTGAATCGAAAAAAAAAAATTCGAAAAAAAATATTTCGAAAAAAAAAATTCGAAAAATCGAAAAAAAATCGAAAAAAAATTGAAAAAAAATCAAAAAAAAAGAAAAATGCTTATTGATCATAACCGAATTAGTCACATTTAACTGTTTAATTCGGCTGCCACTAATTGATCTAGAACTGTTTATGTGACTAACAATTTCAACTTTTAGTTTGCAATTATCAAATTGTTGTAAACCCAAAAAATTTTATTTAATAAATATCACATTGAATATATATCACGTGGGGGTGGCATTAACAAATCGGGAGGTGGCAATAACAGTTCTCTAAAATTAAAAGTTTTTTATATAAGTGAACTGCCTTAAAGACTTAATAATCATAGCATATTTCTATTAGTATTAACTAAGATATCTTAGTAGATGTAAGTAGATAGATAGATATAAAAACTAGAATGTTTAAATAAAGAATTTATAAGCAGGTTTCAAATATAATAGCTAGTATAAAACCTTTATATAGACTACTTAATTTAAAGTTATATAAGTTACTAATTATATATTCATTTATAGTTATTTTATATAGTTGTAATACAACTATTAGCTAAATATACTATTAAAAAATTTTAGATTACAAGTACTTATCTTAATATTTAAAAAAAAAATTCTAAGAATATTGAATATATTAAGTATTTTAAATAAATATAACTTTAAAGATATTATTACAAAATATAATAAATTAAATATATAGAAAATTTAAATAAGTAAGTTGTAGTTAACTTGTAGATATAGAATCAAATATAGAATCAATATAGACAGATTACTTAAATTAAACACCAAAAGTGCATATTTGACTTGTTGTAACCTTCTATATATAGATGCTTTTAAAAGCATTTGTGTTCAAAAAACTTAAATAAAAATATTACTTTTCAAAAACAAGAACTTTAACTTAATATCTATTAGAAATATTATTTATTTTATTTTTATTTTTTTTAGTATTAAAGTAACCTTTTTAGTCTTTTGATTTTATTAATACTTTTGTTAGATATTATAATAAGTATACAACTGACTATATATATAACTTTTCTATATTATCTATTTAAAAGATTCATTTGAAGGTTCTCTATTAGTTGTTATATCTAACACCTTGCTTAGTTGTTTTATTTAAACTTTTTGATTTGAAATCCTTGTATCAACTTTACTAAATCATTTGTATTCAGCTTTTTATCTCAATCTTAAAACTATTTTATCCTTAAGATAAATCTATCAGAACCTCTGTGTCTCATATACAGTTAATTTAGTTTTATATAACATACTATAGTTGTCTAATACTTGTAGTTAAAGCTAACCTTAAACTGCTATATTACATTAGTTTTATTCTTGTAAAGTTTACTCAAAGCCTGATACTTATCTTTCTGACTTATTCTTTTTATTCTTTTATTATCTAACTTAGAATCTAACAGACTTTTCAAATTTTCAATTTAGATGACCCAGTATAATATATCTTAGTATCCTTATTCTCTAATAATTTTAACAGTTTGATTTATTATATGTTTCTCTACATATCTTGTCATCTGATTATATATCTGTCTATTTTTTATTAATATTTCATAAACTTCTATTAGTTCAACAGTATCATCAAAAATTTGTACTATTTTTTTACTTAGAAATTTCCAAGTAAGATTTTGTTTTCTTGGTTTCTTAGTCTTCTATGTCCAGTGATCTTATCATGAGTTTGCATTAAAGTTTTATGCAATACTGATTATTAATATTTCTCTATCTATATTAATGTTACACTTTACATAAATGCTTTAAGTTTTTATATAATAGGTAAGACCTAACTTAATGTACTTAAAATTACAGATCTTGTCTAAATTTAACTAATTAACAGGAAACAGTTTTTTATAATACAGATTAATTTCTAAATTTTGTTATAGGTAAGATTTGAACCTTAGACCTGCCACTTGAAGGATGACAACCCAACCACTACACTAGAATTGCCATCCTTGAATATTATTTATATTTATATATTTTATTTATATATTGTTTAACTTTTTAATTTAAACTATATCAACTAAATTTTGTTATTTTTTTTATTATTTATACAACTTTAAATTAATAATATTTAGAATATAGTTTTTATAATTTTTTACTTTTAATATATTTATAATCTATAATATTAGTAATAGTTTAAAAGAGTCATATATACAGATATTAATTAATTCATTTAACAAATCACATGTTAGATAAATTATAAATCAAAAAATTAAATCCATGTAAGATAAAATTATAACCCAAAAAATTAAATCTGATTTAAAGTTAAAGTTAACTTTAAGATTATAGAGGTTATAATTTATACTAAAATTTTACAAGAAATATTTTTTGTTATAACTTCAAAGCTGTTTTATTATTAGAATTTTGAAATATCACTATGTCCGTGTTTTATACACTAATGTTTAAATAGAAATTATTAATTTATTGTATTTAAATATTAATATATTATAGTTAATAAAATTACCATTAATTTATTAATTAAAAATATGTATAATAAATTTTTTTTTATAATATATTTGTTTATACTACAAGATTATATAGTTAACACGGGTACGTGTCGTATTACCAACAATCAATTCGCCGACAAGTTTATTTCACCGACAACTATAATCTAATTCTAGCTGACCCTAACGGAAATGAGTAGAATTACTTTGTCGGTGAAATGACTCAGTGAAATAACTGATGGTGAAATAAACTTGTCGGTGAAATGACTGTCGGTGAAATAGGTTGCCGGTGAAGTGATTGTCGGTGAAATGAGCACCATCCAGTTAACACAGCTAATCTATTAGAATTTTGATAAATAATAAACACTATATAAAATTATTAAATAGATTAATGATCAGGCCTCTAAATTATTTTTATACTGTGATAAGAATTAAAAATAGATAAGATAGAAATAGATAAATAGAAAAAAAGATAAATAGATAGATAGATAGGTAGATAGATAGATAGATAGAACCAAATATATAGATATATAGAACCAAATATATAGATCGTCTAACTATTTTTAAGTGTATTTTATAGTATTATAACAAACTATTAATTTTTATATCATAAGATTATATAAATTTTGTATAGAAATTAATTAGTAATGCGTAGAAATTTGAGTTTGAATAAAGATGCATATTTAGAATCAAAGATTTGAATTAATAAAATTAATAATAAATTATTATTATAAATAAGTTTGAATAAATTGTAAATATTTTTCATAAATAAGGTTTTTATTTAAAAAAAGTATAATTAATAAATAAATATTGTACAACATATCAAATACTTTTAGTAGTGCGTTGTATTTAAGAAGAAATACCTGGCAAGCCAACAGAGCGATGAAGAAACGAAAAACGAATTAATGTTAATCTATGCGTGAATAAGAGACAACATAAACCATTTTTGGCAAACAATGGAGAATTAGCAACCGATAAATAATGTTCTGGTTTTTTACTCATTCTTCTGTTGATCCAATGAACTATGCGAATTATTGAAATTGAGTTAATTGATTAGACAGCATGCATTTTATTTATTAGACATAACCCGTGAATATTATTTGTCTTTCCAAAAATTATTTCCACGACATTTATTTAGGATAAGTCTTCAATAGAATTTAATCAAAAATGTAGAAATCAAGTGTAGATGTTACAATTGTTCTCTATGAAAACCGAAGATTTATTTATATTCGTGTAGCAGGTTATTTTAATTTTCAATTAGTATGAATGCGCATATATTATACATTACATGGAAGCAATTGAGTAGCTATTCCGATTATAGCTGTTCAGGGCTTAGTGTTTTACCAGATCCCTAATTTAATAACCTCATGGGTTCACTAACTAAATCTTTTATACGATGTGCATTATGCAAGTATGTTCATCTCGCATTTAAATCTTCGTTCTTTATATATAGCGCAGGTGATCACGCGGTAAATAAATATCTAAAATGTGTAATTATTAATACCAATATAAAATTTTTTTGCATAACTAATTATGAAAATTTCATGAGTCTAACTATGTATGTGAGTCGTGGTGAAATTTATCCTGGTAAATTTTATCACGACTTAAAATTCCATAATTGAAGATTGATATATTTCATATTATGGTATATTTTGGTATGTGTATTGCGGTTTTCAAAATAATGTACATCCTACAGAATCACAGAATCGGAGAACTTACTATGTACGTACATATTTTGTGAACTACAGAATCGACTTACAATATAAGTACTTATGAAATCTACGATATGATAATATTTAAGGGTCAATTCTAATAGTCTTTGTGAATTTTTGTAGTCTTTGTGAATTTTACCCCGAAAATTGAGCATCAACAGTACGAAACCAGAGACAACCGGTTAGAGTATTATGTTGTGCCACTTTTTTTTTTCTATTCTTCAATTATTAAGACTAACCTTATCGTCTCATTCGTATCATTTCTTTGTATCACAAAAATATGGTTTTATTCCTATGTACGCATACATTCACAATTTGTTAAATCTAATGAAAACTCGTTTTTTAGCTTTTTTTTTTCTTCTTTTCTTTAACCACTATATAGAAATAAATATACAGAAAGAAATATACAGAAAGAAATATATATATATATATATAAAGGTACGATTATCCGAAGATCTCCTCATCTCTACACTTAACTCGTCCTGTTGCACGATTTCAATTTTCTCGGATATTTGTCCTTCAAAGTGTTGTATTTTAAGTAGCTTACTTAGCAGGTAAATTCTATTTTTATTATTGATTCTCGTTTGGTGAAACAAGATTAGCGTTCCATTTGCTTTTTTAAATTTTCATAAAAAATTACCGTTTCATTTCATCAAAGTTAATTAAAATATGTTATAAACATAAATCGATAACTCTTGAATAAAAAAAATCCTCATATATACACTCTCCGAATGAGTACACGCATTTGCCATTTCTGGATCTGATTGACTTTCATATATAAATATCGGCCCTGAATCTTTGTTGACTTTAAATCCGAGATTGCACCTACTTGGACTCAAATATAAAACTCAAGGTAGTAACATTTTGCTTGGCTTGGCGTTGATTGCACATGGGAAGGAATCTTTCGATTGGTGATTTATTTCAATTCAATTAACCGATCTAAATGATATAAGCAAGCCTTTTCGACAAAGTGTTTATCTGCCTATTTTTCATTGCACGAAAAATTGCCAATATTTTTTTTTATTTTCGCTCACAAATTGTATTTGTATTTATTTATTATTTATTTATTATTACTCTTTTCGTTTACATTTCGTTCTCATTATGACAACTCCCACAACTTTCTTCGATTTATCATCCCTCGATTCCGATTATAATTTCTCTGTTATTCAACAATTTTTTAAACAACAGAACCTTCTCCAGCAACAAAACCAAGTCGCAGAAGCTGAAAATTCTTTCACTGATCTTAATTTTCTTTCTTCGCATCAACGACAAGTTGAGGTTCAACCTAATTTTAATCAAGCTTATAACAACTCTTTTCCAATTCAACAAACCTATATATATAATCCAACAGCTTATCCTTCTCCGCCTTTGGATGCTTCTACCAATCTTCCCTCTCCTAGGATTGATTTTGAAGACAGTAATAACAGATCAATGAATTCTGATAATTCTAACTTGTCCCCCTCATCTTCTACCGGCTTTCAAATGGATCGTCGTATGAATCTACCGATTGCTCTCCTCCAACATGTAAAACTTGAACCCGGTTCTTCTGAAGGATCTTCTGAAACATGGTCTCGAGTTTCGGCTCCTGAGACGTCCGGTACGACTCATTTTCCGTTCAGTTCATACTCAACAAAGCCTGTCGATGAGCGTGCGATGAATTCTGCATTTCAACAACCTATGGGTTATTATGGTCAACCACATCCTGTAAATTTCGGTAACACAATGCCACCTACACCTCAGGATTATCCGATGCAGAATCAAAGCAGAAACGTTACACATACTACGCCACTTCATTTTCATCAAAACCAAAGTAGACCTCCTCCAGTTCTAGCTCCTCAAACAATGATGACTACTTTTAGTTCAAAGACTGTTTCTTCGACTCCCAAAAGATATAAATGTAATATATGTCAAAAGAGGTTCACACGCCCAAGTTCTTTACAAACTCATACTTATAGTCATACTGGAGAGAAACGTATGTCAAAATTTTTCTTTCTCAATATTATCGTAATACGACTTTCATTATACGACTTTCGTAATGCGACTTTCGTAAGAATTATCGTAAACATACGATAATACTGTTGGCAATGATGTATAATTATATACGCTAATTTCTTACTTTTTATCTAGCATTCAAATGTCCAGTTGAAGGTTGTGGTCGACATTTTTCGGTTGTCAGTAATCTTCGTCGTCACCAAAAGATTCATTCAAAATAATTGGTGATTTTAGAAATACAATTGTGACAAAAAGTAATGATCACTTTAATTGTTTTTTGAAAAAAATTTTTTTTTTCTTATTTTATAAAAAATGCCAGGGTGCATAATTTTGTAATTTATAATTAGTGCCAGAAAAAAAAACCAATTTATTTCTGGTTGTGTTTACAAGTCGTAAACATATAATATATGTCACTTATCGCTAGTATGTTTTTTATCAATATGTAATTCGTTAAAAATGCAAAACAATTCATAACTTTTCCTTTCGAATTTATTTTTTTTTTCGTCTTTTATTAATAATTTCACTTAAGCACTGTTATCCTTATTGTTTTCTTGGCGATCAAATATCAGGAGAAAAATTTAAGCGTCTTTATTTCTTACGCGATATGTTTCGCATAACTGAATGACAATCGATTTTTTTCCTTTTACAATTCTGCCACTTGTTTTTGTCTTTTTTTTTCTTTTTTCTTTTTTTTTCTTTTTTTTTTCTTTTTTTTTTTTTTTATGATTTACAGACACGAAAAAATGAACCAAAAAAAATTAAGAGACTAATTTAAAATATGAAATCTAGAAACGTCGAAAAATCTACGCATGCCAATTCTCGCTTTTTAAAGAAATAAAGAGAATTTTTTTATGTTTTTTTTTAACGACAATCTCGAATAATACATATATCTAGAAGTTTGAATTTATCATAGATTAGACGCAGGAAGCAAATTTAATGTCTTAAATTCTCATTTTAGGATACCATAACGAAAATTTATAAGTTATTAGCAGATTCACTATATCAAGAAAAATTTTATATAGACTTGTTTTTAGATTAAATTGAAATAAAATTCTCGATTATCAAACAATTACCTGTGCATATGCGTCCGTATGTTAGATATTAATCGCGTACAAATTATTGATCAAATTTCATGCCTAAATTTACAATGTCATTTTTAGGTTATAATCTTGTCCATTCTTTAGTATTATAAGTTTCTTATCGTAAGTTTAAGAAACAATTAAAATAAAAATTAAAAAAATAATTTTTTTTTGTTCGCATATTAGCACCTCATTTAATCAAGGAAATTGATGCACCCTGCTAACATAGTTTAATTAACATTATGTCAAGCTTAAATGACCTCTGAATAAATAAGGTGTATTACTAATATGCAAATATATGCTATCTACCCTGATTCATAAAAGAATGGACAAGCTTATAGTTTAAAAATGATATTGCAGCTTCTTTCACTAAATAAACGTCAGAAGGGTAAGTCGATCATTGGATTACAACCTTTATATTTACCTATATCGGTACTATAATAGCAAAAAAACAAATTATGTACATGCGTACATACATGTATATAATCATGGGGTTGTAATCTTTATTAACTCTAGTGAAACATTGTGACTCAATAAATAGTCCTCTTTCATATTAAACAATTTTAAGTACATACATCGTACATAGATCAAGATTTTTCAAAAAAAATAATGACGGAGCTTACTCTTTATTCGGATAAATATATAATAGTCACATCAAATAATTTAACCATTAAAGATTATTATTTTCCATTTGGTATCTCGTTTACTATTCCATTAACAGAAATCATTTCAGTTGATACCGCAGAAGAGTTGTCTCTTGGATTTTGGGCAATTAAAGGTGTAAGTCTTTAAAATAATGATTTTTTTAAAGAAAAATTTATATTACTATATTTATTACATCTCTTTTTAAAAAAATAGTGGGGCATGGCATTTTCAAATATCTGGTTTGCCTTTGACCTTAAGCGCCATTTTATTTCTAAATCAAAAATTGGTGTTGTTAAAGTGCAAAATCATGGGATCAGAAAAGGATTTTCTGTGGAAGATGACATGGGTATAGATACTTTAAAAACAGCTTGGAGGGATGCAAATAATTAATAAATCTTGAAAATTTTCTAAGTTAATATTATTTTTGTACTATATGTGGACGTTAACAACCCATTGTCAAAATTGTCAAAAATTATCAAGAAACTTTATATTCGAAAATAAATAATAAAGAAATAAAAATCAAATTTGTTTATGTGACCATTTATTCTGGTTCATTATCCTAGTTAAGAAATGTCAAAATTTAAAAAATTCTTACAATTCTTGCAGTAAAGTATAATAGGTGAAAAAAAATTATGAAAAATAAACCAACTAATCAAAATTCTTAAACTATTTGATCCATTTACCCTTCATTTCAAATTAAATTCAATAATTATAATACCCTTTTTACTTTCACCGACGAATCTTTCGTAATTACCTTTTCTATAAGAGTTTGAAGATGTTCAACTTTCTCTTGTGGCAATTCCTTAGATATATATCGCAAATTTAACAATTTGAGATTTAATGATTTTGCATATTCTGAAACTACTTCAAGATGAGCTTCATTTAAATTCCAGCATCTTCCGAGGTTTAGAACTTCAATCGGTGCTCGCGAATTTTTAAGAAAATATTCAAGAGATTTGGGTGAAAAATAACGAGATAATTCTAACATTCTGATGTCAGAACATGCTTTTACAAGTGGAAGATACATTAGAGTATCCACATTTTAAGCTAAAACAAAGTAAAATAGTATAATAATTTATATTATTCTAAAGCATTGTTATCTGCTAAAAAAAACTAAACATTTACCATGAGTCTCTGACATTTCAGGCGCAATAGCCAAATACATCATTGTATCTTTGACATTATTTATCAATTGTACTAAGGATTCCAGAGGTGGATGGCTGCAGAAAAACCGCAAAGTCTTCAAACATGGAAAGTGTGCTTTACATAATGAAACCATGTTTTTATTAGTAAACTGTGAGCAATATCTAAATTTCAATTTTTCCAAGCAATTTAGTAGAGCAATAGATTCTAATAAAGGATCACACACTGGATCAAAATCCAGATCACAAAAATTAATGCAAGTAAGAGTTTTGGATTGGCTACTAAATGACTTGACAACATCTGGCCATTCGTATTGGTTGCCACTAAGAACAAATTTCTTTAATCCTTGTTGAGCTAACATAAGATATGTAAGACCTATAGCTTCAGCTTCAACATCATATGCTAATTTGTCGATGTCATACATGGAGACTCCTAATTTTTCAATATTATGACAATACTCTGCCATCTTTAGCAAAACGCCTGCCTTTCTTTGTCGATGACACTCAAATTCACGAAGATCATGCAAACAATTCTTTGCTCCATGAAAAAATGGAAGTGACGTATATGTGCTGTTATTCAATAATGCATAGAGTTCTTCAGGCAAATATTTGTCGGTATAATAATCTACAATTACTGATTCATGATGTATTTCGAGACGAATAATTTTTTTACATTGTTCCATAAATAGAATACCCAATTCATGAGCCAATGAACGAGAATATTCTTTATAATCTAAGTCTTCTAAGAATATCTCAATATTTTCAAGCCATCTTCGACTTGCTTGATATAACTTTTCTGTATCCAAATTTTGCAAATAGATTGGGTATTGAAATATAGGTGGCTTGGATGATCTTGGCAATGTGATAAGAGGCTTTGTGGCAAGTCGCTCTCTTGATTTGTTGGAAAGGAAATTCAAATATACCTGGGTAAGCTTTGGAGATGGATCATTGGGATCCTCCCAAAAATGAAATGGCTGCTTCCACAAAAGAGGTATAATATTGCAACACCAATTTTTATTTACAAGGAGACAACTATACAATGCCTTTTTGTCATATTGTATATATGAAAAGATCTCTTGCAAGGATTCATTTGGTAAAGATGCTGCCATTATAACTGAATAATATCACTTTCAAATATAAGAATAATATACTCAGATATTGAGGTTTTAATGACAAATAACTTCATTTTCCAGAGATTTGTAATATATATATTGCTTTTTCTAACCTTCTTACCTAAAGAATGTTTGCCTTATTCAAATCTTTTCTCATTAACAATATTTTCCAATATAAATGTTTTTCAGCAACCTAAATTCGCAAGAAAAAATATATATATTTAGATTAGTACATAGATTTAATATATTTTATTAATAGATCATTTTATTTTATTAAATTTGAAATTCTGTTAAAAAAAAAAAAAAAAAAAAAAATGGTAATTTCGATTTTTGCAAGTGATAAAAAAACGCGAATAGTTTTCCGGTATTATAACATTTTGTGCAAACCAAGATCCACACTTATCCACTTTTAGAAAATCAGACTGACTATATGACAAATTGTTTGTACATACCTTATTTTTAAAATATATAAAATTACTAATTTTAATAAGAAGTTTTTTTTTCAAAGATCAAAAAAAAGTTTATTCTTTATTATTAATTAAAAAAAAAATAGAATCTGAATCTAAAATTACATTATAAATGGATTTTGTTTGTTCTTGAAGACAAAAAAAGTAAACAATACTACAACGGATGAGTCACTTATATAATGGTCGACTGGCATGTAATACTATATAGTTTGTACAGCACTAAAGTGTGCAAAGCAGTATTGTGTGTGCAAAGTAGTATTGGTCCTTTGCATCAGTCTAAATAAAGGCCTTGAATTTTCAATGTAGGTAGGATTCAAGTCAGCATACTCCGTATTATCTGGGTGAAGTAAATTCGTAGACTTTTTTATGTGACTAGCTATACGGCTTGAAATTAATTAAAAATAGTTGCCCCTAGTTTCAAAAGAGTGTAGTGTTAACACCCAGTATTTAAAATCTGTGTCCTGCATATTACACGTAATTTTCTTGAATTGTTATCGTTATTATCATTATGTTTACAAGAATTATTAAGTTTTAAACATGGTTTAGAAGTTGAAACCGATTATTATGATTTGATTTTAAATTCAGTTAAATCGATTTAATATTAAATCGGTTTATAATATTCCAACTCAGTTGTAAAACCATGAAAATTCGGTTTTATTTTGTTTTATTTATTTATTTTTTTTTGTATATCATAAAAAAAGGAATCTATCTTTTCACCCGAATTATTACTGATTAACAAAAGAATGAATTGGATTAAATTCGGTTCAAATCCAACTTAATTTAGTTTAAATATTAATTTTCAACTAATGCCAGTTTTCGAATTTTTCAACCTACACTGGGCTGTATAGATTAAGAATTCCAGAAAGCTTAGAAAATCAGTAAATTGCATTTGACGAAATTGGATATTGTGACGAATTAAGAAGTTTCTCGTAACCAAGTTATCAGAACCGAGTGGTTAAAGTTCAACGAAAGAATGACTGCCACACGATTCAGCCACACACCAGAGAATTATCGATATTACAATGTGAAAGTGACATAGATTGACATAATGACACATGAAATGATGTAAAAATTAGTCCTCCCCGCGATGTCCGAAAAATCCTTTAAGTTTGTTTATGCCAGCATTTATATTAGAGCTGAATGTTGATGAATATATAGTAAAATTGCTTGTGAAAACCCTTTGTCAAAGCAAAAAGGTGGTTTTTTTTATACAAATCTTACAAAATGAGCATATAAGTCTTAACAAACAATATTAAACATTTAATAAATATAGTCATTACAAATATAATCGAAAGTTCGATGAACAACTGGATGCAGAACATAATTGAAAGCATGATAACAGGTTTCTCTTGACGGCACTCATACGCATAACAATTTTAGCGATTAAGATGTTTCTGCCTGTATACAATTTGTTTGATTTAGATAAATCATCTTTTTCCTCTTATTGCCTTATTTTTTATTTTTATTTTTTTTATTTTTTTTAAACAATTGATTGGCAAACTAGTTTTATTTGTTAATATTAACTTAAGTTACATTTTTAGTTAGTAGAAGTATAGTTAGTCATACATATAACTTTAGTCATTGTCTATTTAAGGGTTTTGTCTTAAGATTACCTGCTAGATGTTATATCTAACATCCACTTGTAGGTGTTTTATTTAAACTTATTAGTGGGTTTCAATCTATATCTGTATAACATTAACTAATTTTAAGACTAAGTTACTCTGTTGTTGCTTTTAATGAAAATCATCTAGGGTTGATTTTATTCTCTTTCTTAACTTGTACATAGTTTATTACTTATTTTAAGTTATATATTTAATAGTAGGCTTAGAAATCTTTTTATTAACTAACCTATCTATTTACAGTTTTATTAATAAGGGTTATGCTTTTGCAAAGTTTATTCAAATCTTAGTATTAATTTTATAGCATATATTTAGTATTTTAATATATTTATGTTTTGTTTTTAAACTTATGATTCGAATAGTCTAAAAGAATTATAATCTGTTTTCGGTATATCAAGTCTAATTAATATTACTTTTTTTAGTTAAAATTTGACAGTTTGATTAATAGATCTACTTGACTTAAACTATTCTCAAGTATTTTTTTCAATAATTTTTCAATGACTTGATTAGTTAAAAAAAATTGTTCATGATTATTACTTAGGTCAAAAAAACCTGAAGTTGTAATCATTAAATTTTTTTATAGAAATGCTCAAATTGGTTAAAATTTAAAATCTGTATTTTAATAATAAATTTTTTATATTTTTTTTAATTAATCACAATAATCACTCAATTAATTATAATGCTTTAAGCAACATCTTAATTACTAGCTAATTACATTGAAAAAGTTGCTTGAGAACACTCTTAATAGATTATATTTTGTTTAATTTTTTTATAATAATCTTTGTTTTCTAAATCTAATTTTTATAATAATACTATTAAAGGTTTGTATTATTTTTTACTTGGATTTTTTTAAATAGGTTTTTGTTTTTTTAATTTTATAGATTTATATAATTATAAAGATTTATTTTAAGTTTGTACTATTTAGTATTAGTCTAGATCTTTGTATAACTAAAATTACACTGTAATATCAGATTATAACTAATTATATAAAGAATATATAAAATACAATAAGTTATATTTATGATCAAAAATGGTATTTTGGATACAGAAAGATAGAAAAAAAGAATATAAGAATAAATTATATATCTTTAAAAAAATTAAACATTGTTAAAATAATATTAAATAGTTTTAAAAATATAATAAGTGCAAAGTTATATTTGTAAATAATAAATATAATATTATAAATAAAGGTTAAAATGATCTTTAAAAGCAGTATATTTTATTAAAAATAACAAGTTCTAATATATTACATTGTATATAATAAATATTAACACTAATATCTAATATAAACCTTATAAAATTTATAAACTTTATTATTTATTAGTTAAGTTTTTGTTTATATAATTTACCTTATTTGTATTTGTTAACTTAAAATAACTAAAAATCTTAATCATTTATTAGCCAAATCTAATATTTCTTTTTATAAAAGTTATCTATTGTATATTATACAGAATTTTAAATTATAAAACAACCAAGTTATAATTTTTCAAATTTAATAACACAAATAATTATAATCTATTAGTTATATTAGTACAACTATAGTTATAAAAATTTTATTTTAATTAATTAATAAAAATATTTGTTATAATATAAATAATTTTTAATATTTTATTATAAAAATTTAATAAAATCTGCTTTATATCTAAACATAATATATTTAATAAAATTTTAGTTTATTTGTTTTTTAGTCTTGTTAAAGATATTTGTAAAATTTATATTAAAATTATTACTAATAGAATTAGAGTTATCTTTTTACAATACTCTATTCTTTTATTATACAACTATATATATTATTTTATTTAAAATAATATTTTAGTATTTACAGTCAACCCTCTCTATAATCACGTAGTTGGGATGATAGTAACTTTTTTTAGAAATGTGCTTATAAAGAGGTTGTGCTTATATAGAGGTTTTTTATATATTTTTACAGCAATTTGTTTAACAAAATTAGGTGCTTATATAGAGGTGTGATTATATAAAGTGTGACTATAGAGAGGTCTGACTGTATTTGTATTTTTAACAATTTTATCAAAAATATAAAATATAATTTTTTTTCCTTTACTTAAGCAGTTTTGCTAACTATTTTTATTATAATTTTTTGTATATATATATACAAAATTTTATATAACTTTTGGCCTAATATTTTATAAATACTTTTATAAGCCTTACAAGTAATTTGTCTGCATTAACTATCTAATTTTATAAGAAATTAGAGTATATCAAGAGCTGCATCTGACTACTGCTCTACAATAAAATATTGTCAATCTAATAATATTTTCTCATAGAGAAGTAAACAAAAACAAAAAAAACTTATATATAAAAAAAATACAAAAATATAAAAGAAAACAATAAAAATACAAAGCAAAAAATAAAAGAGAAAAGAAAAAAAGTAAAAAAAGAAAAAATATGTGTAACTTTTGTTATACAACTATTAAATAATTATAATTATAAGCCTATATTAAACTTTTAAAAATTATAAACTATACTAAATAGAATTAATTCTATTATTTTTTTATTTATTTAAAATATTTAACAAAAACTATATAAAATAAAACTTTAACTTAAATATAAAAAGTTAGCATAGATTACTAGTTAGCCTAAAAGCAGTATTTAATAAAATTTTAGCTGTTAAGACATGTTTATAAGTTATATTTGTATTGCTATATTTTTTATACAATTCTAATTAAAAAGTAAATATTACTAATTGTTTTGATGTTTTTATATATTAATCTTTTAGAGAAGATAAACTGAATTACTTATTTTTTACAAATTTTTTTTTTAAAAAAATAAAGACATAAGGTAAATCAAACTTTAGATTTTGTGAATACTTAATCCTTTTAGAAGTTTCTTATAAATAGAATTTCTCAAATCTAAATTAAATTAAATATTAAATTAATTTAAATTTAGTTAA